GGGTGTTTTGGGTGTATTACTAAAAAAGGAAATTTTTAGGAATTTTGAGATTTGCGGGAAAGAGTTTTTTTTTTTTCTTTTTTTTGTTCTAGATTGAACTTCTGTTTTATAGGATATTTTTAAAGTATTTGTTAATAATGTTTTATAAAAGATCTGAATCATTTTTTATTTGTTTTTTATTATTATATATTTTGTGAAGATTTAGTTTAAGCTTGATTGAATTATGAGCTTTTTTGATATAGTTTTTGTGTTTATTATAAAAGTTTTCTACTATTTTTTTGAAGTTTGATTGATATTTATTCAATAACTCTTGTTAGAATTGTAATAAAACCTTTTTAATTAGGAGTTTTTTAAGTTTTTAAAGATCTTTAATTAATAAATTGCTATAATCATTAACAATATTATATAGAATATACAGTTCTTGATCAAAATATAAAGAAATTGAAAGTTTTTAAGTTGTATTATAGTATTGTTAATTTTTTTTGTTTGTTTTTAAGTTTTTTTTTTGGTATTAATACAATGATTCTTTTATGTTAGATTTGTTTTGACTTTTTTGATAAACTTGTTTAGGATGTCCTTATATATGTTGTTAATATGGTTCCAAAAATTGGAATCGAATCAGTGTTGGCAATTGTACTCCAGTGATTAACTGGAACAATACTCCAGTCCAATATTCCATTGCTTCAATGACAAGTCAATGGATACTGCTCCATTTATAAAAACTAATCACGTGATTTGATCTTTTTTTACGACTTACATAATTTTTAGTAATTCTTTTATCTACATTATTCTTAATTCTGTAAACTGTCTCTAGGTTCGCATATTTAAAATTTTTTGTTTCTTTTTTTTAACCATTTATACAATTAATGTGCTTTTTATAAATTATTCTCTTTCACCTGTAAATTCTTTTTTGCCAGAGTCCAGTTCTGATGATTATAAAATCATGATTTATGAATTTTCAAAACTCAGAAAATTTAATGTCAACCAGTAAAACGAATAAAATGGATAATTTTAATGATTTTATGTGAATAGAATTATTCCAATAATTATTAATATATTCTTGCATTATAGTTTCCGTTCCAACATTATTCATGCAAAAAATTTCTTGAAATGTATAAAAAAGAGGTAACCGACTAGTAATAGTGCCCGATGGATAGTAATAAGTTAATTTCAACATCTTCTGATAGGATGGCTATTGTACATATCTGATTTGAGTCATAGCGCAGGTGACAAAGTATTTTTATCAAAATTTTAATTTCAATATACATAAGATATGGAATTTAGGGAAAGGCATTTCCATGTCTGTATTTCATGGTCATACAGACAGATATTATGTACTACATGAAGTTTAGATGATAAAGATTTGGTTTTCATGGGTAGAAATGACACAATATGTTTCGGCTGGATACTATCTGAAAATATTTGTGAATTTTCGACAGGTATTTTATTTATTACAATAAAAATATCTATTTATTCTTATACTTGCAGTAAACCATTAATGCCGTTATGTCTATTAATAATAATTATTATAAAACAGGCACAACACGGAAACCTTAAACCCAAATCAGTTATTATATCAACATGAGTATGTCCACATCTTCATATATAAAAACAACCTTACCCATCGAATCCAATCGCAACACCTGTTTGACGTAAGAACCTTTGATATTGCATTTTCGATCTTACAAAAAGGTTATATGGTGGTGATTTAATAAAAGCATTAGAATTTTGGATTGTCAAAGAGAGCTTGAACGATCATGATCAACAAAGTCCATTGTCTGTAGATTATTTTTCGGAGAAGGAAATAATACAAGAAGATCAATTGAAAAAGGTGATTCACAATATTCTTCTTTTATCACCTGTGTATATAAAAATTTTCTATTTTTTAATATATATTTTGAAGTTTTATCGCACAATTTCTCAGAGCAGTCTATTGGTTTATGTGGCCTAGAGTTGATCCAAGCCTGCCACTGGAATTATAATCAAATTCTGTGAAGAAAACAAAAACTTTCCAATCAAGACTCGATACTTCTTGCACTTAGTCCCTCAGGTACGCAGATGGCTTTGATTAACCAAATTATTTATACTCGTTTATAATATTAAAATAATAATATTTAGCTGGACAAGATGTATGGCAATCTTTAATGCACTTGTAAGTGGAGAAGTATGCTGCAAAGAATGATCACCACAGGGCGGTTATATGTTGATTAGCATGTGGAGATATATATCAGGCTATTAACACCTACTATAAAGCTGAGTATCGGTAAGTGAAAGATTCAAATTCATGATCAAGCGAAAACCTAATTTATCAATTTTTTATTTATACAATACTATTGCACTCACAAGCTGCAGCTTATTAGAGTTGTATTGTTCTTGGGCTATTTAACTTGAGAAAGAAGAAACTTATGAACAGGCTGCTATGTGATAAATTGATGTAAAACTCCGGATTTCAATGATGAAATTTAATTCATATTTGAATAATTTTTTTATCAACATATGCAAAATTTAATAAATTACTTAATCGTAATTTAAGAACTAATGATAATGTCAAAGATGTTTAGGAAAAATAAATTGAGAAGTGATTAATAATAGAGAATTAGATAAGTAGCAGGAAAAAGATATTAGAATATAAGCAAAAAATATTCATGTAAATATAATTTAATTAATCAAGATAATTGTACAAGCACATAAAGCATTTAAGAAGTTTCAATTATACAAATTTGTTTTTTTAATTCAATAGTAAGATCAAATCTTTTGATTTCTTTAGATATTGAAAATATATCGCAAAAAAAAATTATAATTCTTATTTTTAAGTCACCTCGATTTATAATCATTAAAATTTACTTATTCAAATAGACAGAGTTAACTTTATATCGTATCATTGCAATATTTAATACACAGAAAAGTTATAACATATTAATTATAATGAGCTTAGAAAAACCAAATACTAATACTATATTCGTGATTAACACAATATAGCATACATGAATGCTACTGATTATAACTATTTTCTGATATACCATAAATTGATCAAAGATTTCCTATTGCTGAAGGTGCAGGAACTCAGCTATAAACAGATCTGTAAGATACCACTTTCCTATAGGATCATCCGCTGGATGATTTAAATTCATAAACGTCTTATTAGATGTTTCGATGTTTTCAATTATAAGATCTTCTGACCAGTTATTAAGAACTGATCTCCATTCATCATCTACATTAGTATTTGTGCTTAAACTATCTTCATTATTCTCACTATAATCTACCATTGTTTCTTCATCTTCATTGATTATTACTTCTACTTCAGTTTCGACACTTTTAGGAATATGTTTTGAATGAAATTCATAGTTTTCAGTATTGTATGTAATAGTGCTTGCATATATATATTCTTCTAACTCATGTACTATTTTAACTGCACAATTATAAGTTATTTCAGCATGCATTTGTGCTATTGAAAACACTTTTCCAAGCTAAATAAAATATAAAATAAATATTTAACAAATAGTTTAATATTTATTAAAATAATAAATTTTTCATACCTGTAATCTGTTTCGTCGTTCCGAATATATAAAACTCATTAATGAAAACAATTACTCATATGATGCTGAATTCACACATATTGAAAAAATTCAAACTGCAAGAATGCTTAATTCCTTTGTTGCTCCTATCGTAAATTTCCAATATTCTTGAATATCATCAAAGTTTAAAGCAGTATCATCATCAAATGGATATTCTTTATTGACAAATTTTGAGAGTTCTGCTAAAATAACAGATGGTCGTGTTTTAAACCATTCTTTATAATAGTATTGTGCCCATAAACCGATTTGAGATAAATTTAGTAAAGGAGCATTGCTATTAAAGATGCTATTACGATATTTAGGATGAAGAAAGAAAGATAGAATAAGTAATGGTTGTTCCCATTGTTTTCATCAAGACTCTAAACGTTGAACCATATTTTTGCTAAAATTATCTTCACGGTTCTTATATAATTGCATAAAATAAGCAAATGCATGAAGAACATCTGGTAATCGTGCAACATCATGTTGTAAATGATTAAGTATTGCCATAAATGGAAGCAAATGAGATTCAAGTTCTTCAACCATTTGTTACCATTCGTTATTTTCAAAACATGTTATAATGTTTTTAGGTAATTCTTGAAATTGTAAAGCAAGTGCCTATATATTAACAAATTATTTTTTTTCTATCAATATTATTAAAATAAAATATAAAAATATATTAATACATACCTTTAAAGCCCTTTTGCTACATACTAATGATACAAAACAAAAATAATAACTATTCCATCATGTTTAAACTGGTCTTATCAATACATAATATTTTCTATATAATTCCTTTTGTTCGTTATATAGCTTTTTAATCCAAAATGAATGCCTATTGTCGGTAAAATAAGTCACTACAGTTATTGCTTTTGAAGATGTAGTCTTATATAGAGGAGATGACTTAAAGATATCAGCAATACATAAGTTTGCTTGATGTGCAAAGCAAGGTAGAAAAACTATATCTGTATATTCTAATCACATTTTTCGTCTAATAAAAAACAAAATAATAAATTATATTAGAATTATAATAAAATTACTATTATACAATATATTACGAACCTTGCTGATGCATATGTGAATGCGCATCTGTTACTACCACAATAATTTTAATACCATCTTTTTCTGCACGTGTAAAAAAACTTTTTATTTTTTCCACTATATCAACTGTATAAGCACCATAATCTGAAATATCTTCAGCTCCCCATACAAGTACTTTTCCCTTGCTCGTAATTAGAACACTTCCTAAAACTTCTTGATAATTAATATTTTTCCAGCCATCGAAAGCTAAAGTATTACCAATTTCATCTTGTTTAATATTAATAGCTTGTTTACGTTGTAATTCTTCATTATGTGATATTAAAATACGATCAGCAAGAGCTCAACGTCCAGGCAAAGAAATATTGGATTAAGAAATTTAAAAAGAGCAATAACTTCAGGATTCTCAATCCATCTAAATGCCCAGCCATTACTTATAGTTATTTTTAATAAATGATGCTCAAATATGATATATTCTGCTGGATTTAAATTACGAATAAGATAATTCTCAATAAAATTTTTTGTTGACCGCTTTTGTGTATTCCATATAGTGTGTGGGATATTTTTATAAGGAGTTATAATTGTTTCGGAAGAACTTGAAAAAGAACTACTTGAAGTTGCAATTGATGATATATCCATATGTTGATTTTCTTCTTCTGATGCATATATGATTTCAGACCGTTCTTTTTCAGTATATTCCATAGCAAACTGTTTACACTTTTTTAAATGTGCTTTAACACAAGCTTTAGTATTAGTAAATACAGATCTTTCTAATGTCAATTCTCTTCCTAATTTATTAATACATGCCTTACACACTGCAGCTTTATTAGACTTTTTTACTTGTATTAATAGGACCTCAATATAAGGAGTAAGCCTATAAGGTGGCTTTCCACCAGTATGTTTTTTCATAATAATAATGATTGATAAAGAGCGTTGTTTAAAAATTAAATTAAATTAATTAAATAATAAAATTTTATTGGTTATTATTATGTTAATCATTCTAAAAAGGCAATTTCTCCATTTATCAATGAAGCATTCCATTGGTTCCATTGGTTCCATTGGCTCCATTGAATATCAATAGAATGTTCCATTGCCAACATACATATTACAATGGAGTCAATAAAGTCAATAGAATATAAATTCTATTGCTTTATTCCATTGAATTCTGAATGGAGCAAATATATACCAACACTGAATCGAATAGAATCGAACAGAATCGCATGAGGTTCGGAACACTATTAAAAATGATAGTGGGGTATACCCTACTTATTAAATTTAATATAAACTTGAGAATCGAATACAGAATCAAAAAGAATCGTTAGGATCCTTAGTTGTTAAAATCTTTCCAGTTTGATTATAAAAGAAGATTAGTTTATAAGTTCAGTTCTTTTATAAATTTTGGTATATTTTTTTTGAAGATTTTTTCAATGCAATATTTGAAAGTGGATTTGCTTTTTTTAATTCAAAGTAATCAAGTTTGATTAAGACTATATAGGGATTGGTAGGAATTAGATTGCAGTTTTTTTATTTCATATTAAATAATCTTAGTAGTGAGATTTCTAAAAATCCATACTTAATTAATATGAGAGGCACTAGTAGTTATTATATAAGTAAATATATTTTTGTTGAATTGTTGATTAATATTTACAGTATAGTACAAAAAATTTTGAAATATTATTTACATAATATAAATATATATAACCTTTTTAAAACAAGAGCAATTTGTATAAAATTTTAAATATGTAAATAATATATTTCAAATAATATATATAGATACTTAAAATTATTTGATTATTTTACTTTTGTTACAAACTTATTTTTATTATGTTACCTTTTAAAAAAAATATTCAACAACAAACTATATTACATTTGTAAAATAATGGAATTACTTCTGCATATAAAATATATTCCAAAACTGATATAAACATGTCAACTATCTATTACAATCTCAAAAAATTGAATTAAAAAAGCAATAATTCAAGAAAATCTGGTAGTGATCATTCTAAAAAGATCACAGCATATGAATCAAAAGCAATTGATCAATATTTATGTTATAATCCAAAACTTTTTTCAAGAACTTTGATAATTAAATTATCAAATATTAATATCAAAGTATTACATTTAACAATTTTAAGATATTTGATCAATATGGGTTACAAAAATAATTTACTTTTAGAAACACCTATACTTATTACTGCTTATAAAGAAGTTTGTGTTATTTGAACAAAAAAACATCTTGATAATAACTGGAAAAAAACATTATTTTCTGATAAAACAGCATTTCAACTATTCAGAAATACAATTACTTAATAGTATAAAGGTATAAGATTAATTGAAAGAATACCTAAAGATTATATTAAAATTTTTGCATAGAAAGGATTTTATACAAAAGGAAAAACTTCTCTTTTTTGTTTTAAAAAAATTATAGATACAAAATTTTATATTAATATTTTGCAAAATCATAAACAAGAAATTAATAGACTACTTGAAAACAATTGATGCTTTTAACAAAATAATAATTTTAAGCATGCAAGTAAAATTGTTAAAGTATTTTTAAACTCCTACCCCAAAGACAGTCTATCGATTGGAGCCAAAACCTCTCCATATAAACAACTGGTATATAAGCATCTAAGCAACTACATTGATATAGAGCAGCAATACGATGACAAAGCCTTTACTCACTTCATCCTAACTAGCACCTCACGCATAGATCAAATCTGGGCCTCAAGAAATCTTGCACCTAAAATAGTCTGGTATGATGTACAAGAGATTGAT